TCTTGTGGAAAGCAGAAGATTGTTTTCTGCTTTGGGCAGATGTGAGTGAAAGGAAAACTAATCGGCCACGTGAAAAAAATGTGGTTAAAATTAGTCTGGATATCCTCTTAAACACAAAACATGTAATGTGAAACATTGTAGTTGCAGCATTATGCTGTGAGCATGTCGGTCAAAGTTGATGGGCTATAAAAAAAAAAAACATTGAATAGAACAGGCTGAGCTTGTGACTGGGATGAAGCACAATGAATACCCTAAGAAGATGAACAGTTCTTCATTGGAATAGTTTTCAAAGCAAATGCATGTATTTGGCTGGCCCCAGTAAAGCCCAGACCTTAATCCACTTCAAACATGTTGCAAGACTTTACCATTTATGTACTCAGATTCTTTCCTGAGCTTGTGCTCTTTGGCAAAATAAAACATAAATGTATAGACAAAACTCAAGGACCTCCAGCTATAAGCTGAAAAATAAGGTTATTCAGGGTATTTACTCAGGGGGAGTAAACATTTTCTGTGTGAATAATTTTTCTTCCATTTTAACAATATTGCACTTTTGTTGGTCCTGAAAAAATATTCAAATAAAACACATTGACCTTTGTGTCTGTAATATGAGAATCTATAAGAAAGTTCAAGAAAGGTAAGAATATTTGTAAGGCAGTAAAAAGATGGAAATTAAAGTTGGTCGCAAAAGTTTGTGTGACTTCTAAAGAAATGGGTGGTTTAATTTTGGGTACAAACATTTAGTGTTTTATTAACTTACCGCTTGAATCCAGACCACACCTTTCCTTCAGATGATGAATGAAGTGGACCAGTTTACAGTTAAGGTTTAACATCTCCATCCTGTCATCTGCCAAAATAACCTTTGTCAAATGAGTAGAAATTAACAATTTAATGAAATTAATCCAGGAAATATTTTTACCTCCAAACAGCACAGTGACAAACATCCTTCAATGCTGCCTGTGTTAATGCTCCAACAAACTCAAGCAGGAGCTGAAATGTGGATAAAGTCAAGGAAGTTTCTGGCCAGACACCGAACCTGCTCATAAAGTTTTGTAGCGTGCATTTTTTTTTACCAACACCAACGACTCCAGCTTGGATAACTTCACACAACACCCCCTCTCTGAATGTACCTTTTCTTTTCCTTAACAATGCTCTAGTCTTGTAAATGGAGCAACTCGAACCGGGTGATGCTTGTTTCCATGGGGTCTCTACAAACAGAGTCTCCCTGCACCTCACAGATCTATAATGAACAGCGATGTCAGAACAGTGACAGAAAAAAAAAAAACTGCTTTATAGTTTCACTGCTCTTACTGAGAAATGCTTGGTAAATAATCCAATCCACATTTGAAGATTTGCTGTATTAGTACTGTACTAAACATAATTCAGTTCAATTCAGTTTATTTATATAGTGCCAATTCATAACACGTCATCTCAAGACACTTTACAGTTCACTAGATCGTACAGTCAAATTGATTCAAAGTTTTCTTTCTAAGGAAAACCAGTTGATTGCATCAACTCATTGACTGGAGTGCAATCCCTCACACTAAGCATGCTTGTAGCGACAGTGGAGAGGAAAAACTCCCTTAAAAGCAGAACCAGGCTCACTGTGAGCGGCCATCTGCCGAGGCCGACTGGGGTTCGAGGAGACAGAAGCAGATATGCAAAAAACAGCTGTAACAGGCGGCCCTGTCCAGGAAACACACAGCCGGACAGACGAGCTCTGAGCCAGCTCTTATGTCAGAGAATGAAGAGAGCACATCCAGCCAGTCACGGTCAGAGAAACAGGATTACACTGAAAAAACAGGCCGATCTCCAACATCTATAAACAAAGGTGTTGATGGCAGCAGCACAGCTGATATTTCTCTCCAGAATGGTGTCACAGCCAAACAGGAAAAGATGAGGCAAAGCTACTATGAGAAAAAGCAGAGAGAGCAGAACGTTAGAGATTGTACTAATAGATTCTGCAGAGTGAAAGAATAGAGACAGAATGATGAAATAGGGGTCCCTATGCCCTCTAGAATTCCCAGCCTAAGGCAGCATAACTATAGAGATAGCTTAGGATGACCTGAGCCACTCTAACTATAAGCTTTATCAAAAAGGAAAGTTTTAAGCCTAGCCTTAAAAGTAGACAGGGTGTCTGCCTAATGAATTAAAACTGGTAGTTGGTTCCACAGGAGAGGAGCCTGATAACTAAAAGATCTGCCTCCCATTCTACTGTTAGAAATTCTAGGAACCACTAGTAAACCTGCAGATTGAGAGCGAAGTGCTCTGTTAGGAACATAAGGAACAATCAGATCATCATAAAATATTTTCGAATATGCTCCGTTCCATCTTTTAAAAAAGGT